GTCTCCTGCCCCAGATCCCTAGGATCTTCCCCCCTGGATCCCGGGGTCCTGCTCGCTGGGGTCCCCAGGATCTGCCCCGTCTCCTGCCCCAGATCCCTAGGATCTTCCCCCCTGGATCCCGGGGTCCTGCTCGCTGGGGTCCCCAGGATCTGCCCCGTCTCCTGCCCCAGATCCCTAGGATCTTCCCCCCTGGATCCCGGGGTCCTGCTCGCTGGGGTCCCCAGGATCTGCCCCGTCTCCTGCCCCAGATCCCTAGGATCTTCCCCCCTGGATCCCGGGGTCCTGCTCGCTGGGGTCCCCAGGATCTGCCCCGTCTCCTGCCCCAGATCCCTAGGATCTTCCCCCCTGGATCCCGGGGTCCTGCTCGCTGGGGTCCCCAGGATCTGCCCCGTCTCCTGCCCCAGATCCCTAGGATCTTCCCCCCTGGATCCCGGGGTCCTGCTCGCTGGGGTCCCCAGGATCTGCCCCGTCTCCTGCCCCAGATCCCTAGGATCTTCCCCCCTGGATCCCGGGGTCCTGCTCGCTGGGGTCCCCAGGATCTGCCCCGTCTCCTGCCCCAGATCCCTAGGATCTTCCCCCCTGGATCCCGGGGTCCTGCTCGCTGGGGTCCCCAGGATCTGCCCCGTCTCCTGCCCCAGATCCCTAGGATCTTCCCCCCTGGATCCCGGGGTCCTGCTCGCTGGGGTCCCCAGGATCTGCCCCGTCTCCTGCCCCAGATCCCTAGGATCTTCCCCCCTGGATCCCGGGGTCCTGCTCGCTGGGGTCCCCAGGATCTGCCCCGTCTCCTGCCCCAGATCCCTAGGATCTTCCCCCCTGGATCCCGGGGTCCTGCTCGCTGGGGTCCCCAGGATCTGCCCCGTCTCCTGCCCCAGATCCCTAGGATCTTCCCCCCTGGATCCCGGGGTCCTGCTCGCTGGGGTCCCCAGGATCTGCCCCGTCTCCTGCCCCAGATCCCTAGGATCTTCCCCCCTGGATCCCGGGGTCCTGCTCGCTGGGGTCCCCAGGATCTGCCCCGTCTCCTGCCCCAGATCCCTAGGATCTTCCCCCCTGGATCCCGGGGTCCTGCTCGCTGGGGTCCCCAGGATCTGCCCCGTCTCCTGCCCCAGATCCCTAGGATCTTCCCCCCTGGATCCCGGGGTCCTGCTCGCTGGGGTCCCCAGGATCTGCCCCGTCTCCTGCCCCAGATCCCTAGGATCTTCCCCCCTGGATCCCGGGGTCCTGCTCGCTGGGGTCCCCAGGATCTGCCCCGTCTCCTGCCCCAGATCCCTAGGATCTTCCCCCCTGGATCCCGGGGTCCTGCTCGCTGGGGTCCCCAGGATCTGCCCCGTCTCCTGCCCCAGATCCCTAGGATCTTCCCCCCTGGATCCCGGGGTCCTGCTCGCTGGGGTCCCCAGGATCTGCCCCGTCTCCTGCCCCAGATCCCTAGGATCTTCCCCCCTGGATCCCGGGGTCCTGCTCGCTGGGGTCCCCAGGATCTGCCCCGTCTCCTGCCCCAGATCCCTAGGATCTTCCCCCCTGGATCCCGGGGTCCTGCTCGCTGGGGTCCCCAGGATCTGCCCCGTCTCCTGCCCCAGATCCCTAGGATCTTCCCCCCTGGATCCCGGGGTCCTGCTCGCTGGGGTCCCCAGGATCTGCCCCGTCTCCTGCCCCAGATCCCTAGGATCTTCCCCCCTGGATCCCGGGGTCCTGCTCGCTGGGGTCCCCAGGATCTGCCCCGTCTCCTGCCCCAGATCCCTAGGATCTTCCCCCCTGGATCCCGGGGTCCTGCTCGCTGGGGTCCCCAGGATCTGCCCCGTCTCCTGCCCCAGATCCCTAGGATCTTCCCCCCTGGATCCCGGGGTCCTGCTCGCTGGGGTCCCCAGGATCTGCCCCGTCTCCTGCCCCAGATCCCTAGGATCTTCCCCCCTGGATCCCGGGGTCCTGCTCGCTGGGGTCCCCAGGATCTGCCCCGTCTCCTGCCCCAGATCCCTAGGATCTTCCCCCCTGGATCCCGGGGTCCTGCTCGCTGGGGTCCCCAGGATCTGCCCCGTCTCCTGCCCCAGATCCCTAGGATCTTCCCCCCTGGATCCCGGGGTCCTGCTCGCTGGGGTCCCCAGGATCTGCCCCGTCTCCTGCCCCAGATCCCTAGGATCTTCCCCCCTGGATCCCGGGGTCCTGCTCGCTGGGGTCCCCAGGATCTGCCCCGTCTCCTGCCCCAGATCCCTAGGATCTTCCCCCCTGGATCCTGGGGTCCTGCTCACTGGGGTCCCCAGGATCTGCCCCCTCTCCTGCCCCAGGTTCCTAGGATCTTTCCCCCTAG